CACACACACACACACACACACACACACACACACACACACACACGTGCTGTCACACACCGTCACACCCTGTCTCCACTCATCATCTCTGCCCAGCAGTTATACTTCTAAAACTGTAAACCCCTCACCAGAAAATGCATGTACTTAGCTGTGGTTACACATTGCAGCTTTACCTTTTTTTTATCTATATATAAGTAAATGCTAAAATTCCAGAGAAAAACATTATTTCAGATAAGTTGTCTTTCAAATAACGGTAAATATCTGCAAAATAATATGTTTGGCCGTTAATTACTTTTTTTTTCCTGTACTGGTTTCGATTAACATGTACAACAACACAACTAACTTTCATTCTGACTTTCAGTATATCCGTCACTTAGCTCAATAACCACCACAGGAGCTTTGTCAAAAGTTCAAACTTGACCCACGAGGAGGGTTTTGTGTTCCTTTGTCATATCCTCATCGAGACTCTGACATATTCATGTAGCTGGTTATGACGGATAAGATTAATGCATAGGAATACTTTGCACTCTGATAACTAATAAACCTTTTTACGTGCTGTCTAAAAAAAATCTGCTGTCATACCCTTCAAACACACAAACACACAGATCTCACCCCATCCCATTCTTTCTTACTGGCAGCAGCCTGGTGCAGGTTCCCATGGAAACCAGCCTACTCTGAGCAATGGCAGATGGAGAGGGAGCTGGAGGTCTAAATTTATCTCCCAGCATCCTCTCTGACTACAGACGCACACTGGCAGCAGGAAGTGAGGAGAGGTACTGCTTGGCCTGTGCACGCACTGACAAGTTGGCATGACCCTTGACATCTAACTCCACCCCTCCCACCCCTGACCCACCTCTTTTTAGTGACAGCTTGAACCAATAATTGATCATTTTCAGCATTCACAGACGTTTTACTGCATTCCTAAAATTGTAAGGTAACTGGAAAATGAGAAAAGTCCTAATACCCCTACCATCATCGCCAAAAACTGTCGATCAAACTTGGACCCAAAATGCTACAATAGTCTGAAACGTAGGCAGGAATAGTTTGATTTGATAGACAAGAGGGGGAAAAAAAACCCACGGATGCTGAAAATCACACTCGCCAAGGGATATCAGCGCTGTCAGCCGCGTGGTAAGGAGAACGCTGTCTGACAAAACACCACATACCAGAGTCCTCACTCACTCACTCCCTCCCTCGCTGAGCTCTTTGCGGGACGCGCTGGGATCGCCGTACCTCTGGGTGTAAAGAAGGATTTCGCAGGGCTTCAACAAGACTGGCAGTTCACAAACTGTCGCCGTGTTCATTTTGATTAAACACAAGCCAGCGAACTGCAGGTCAATACCGGTCTTTAAATCAAACAAGGGAGAGCTCAGCTGGGTAATGCACACCTCCGTGTTTGAATTACACCTCTGGCAGCACAAAATCTGCCGCTCTGCTCACAAAAATCAACCACAACAATTAACTGACTACAACTTGGGCTTAATTGCAGGCTGCCAGGTTTGCATTGTTTTATTTATGGCTGACACCTTCTCGGATTTAAATCATCTGTTTCTTTTGTAGCGACTTAGTTTGAATTATAACCCAGAATTTGACTCAGAAGTCTTCACCTTTAATTGGCGACAACCTACACTTACATCCACTTTTCCACAAAACTTCCTCAGAGACTCGGATGGTGAGGGAGACTCTGACATGAACTAAATCTGTAAGTTGTATCGTAATGTCTGCATACTGTAATTTGCTTAGTTTCACATTAATGTCCTTTAACCACAGAAAAAGACTTATTGACAACTACTTGAATCCTTCAACTAAAAAAAAAAATACTCTTCTGGTTATTGACTACTCAAAAATAAGAAACTAAACTTTTAAATTTCAATAAAAAATATTTCAAACACAATAACCAACAATGTGACTCTTAATAACTAACTAGCCTGTTTGCTGTGGCTAACAAGTACACTAAAGTAATGATGAGGAAAAGAGAAGGTGAAACGAGGAAGATTAAATGGATTAGATGGATCAAAATAAGAGAGGAAGGCTGGAAGAAAAGGATAGGGTGAGTGGGGTGCAAATAGAGAAAGAGAGAGAGCGTGAGAGGGAAAGAAACAGACAGAGTTTAGATTACCTGACAGAGCAGTCTGGTCTTCCCCCTTAGAGACGCTTCACAGGCACTGTGAGACAAGCTGGGAGAGCCAGAGAGTGAGAGCGGATATGACTGTTTGAGTGGGTGTATTGCAGTGAGAGACGGAGAGAGAGAGAGGGAGAGAGGGAGAGGCTTGGGGTGAAGCAAAAAAGGAGAGATGGAGAAAGAGGGAGTGAGAAAGACACTAAATGAATGTTTCCACTGTACAAATGCAAAGGGAGGAGGAAAAAGATGTGGCGAGAAGAAAGTAAAGGCGACTCACACTCACAGAGCATCTGAAAAAAAAAAAATCGCCTCATTGCAGTAACATCATTAATTGCCACATTTCTTAGTGCCAACAGAACCGTCACAGTGAAACCAAAACCCTCCGGCTTACACGATCAGGACAGGATCGTCGGCTGCTGTTTCTTTAACTCGTCACATTGCGCGGCTGTGGCACACCGCGACAGACAGGATTACAAACAGGTCTTGCACGGGGTTTTCCCCTGCAACGCAGAACCCTGGAGGCTATTCCTTGCAATTATCGCCTCCTTATCTACAAACTTATCTTATTTTAGTGGCAACTGTGCCACAGCAGCAGCCTTCGTTCCTAAGTGACAAATCTTTTGCTGACATGGACGTGTCTCGTTTACGTAAACCTTCCAGTTCCAGCCAGAGTGCCACTGTGCCGCATCTGTAAATGAATTCCAGAGTGGCATCCATTCAAGCAAGCCCCCGCATTACGCAGAACTCGGGCTAGGCCTATCAGCAGTGCAACACGAGGGAGAGAGAAACAGAAAGAGAAAGAGAGAATTTAGAATGAACGGAGGTCCTGCTGTTCCACAGAGCTTTGCCTCACTGGCAGAGCACAGGAAGTGTGAGTCACACACTCTAAAATAAACACACTCGCACGGCGTCGAGCCGGCACACAGAACGAGCGGATGGCTGGCCCGCTGATCAGAAGGCAGGCAGAGAGAACATGGATCCATGCAGGCCAGCAACACGTGCTGACCTGGTTGGGATTCACCACCTGGAAAAAGATGATTGTCTCCAGCTCTAATTGCTCTCCATATTTCTTTTTATGCTTCTCTTTTCAACCTTCTCTGCCACACACCATCTTTTTATTCCCCTCTTCACGTTTTTTTTTGCTTACGTCACCTCTTCCACATGCACCATGGCTGGATTGTCCACACGTCTCCCCATTCTTCCTCCTCTGGTTCGTGTTTCCTCTCTTGTTTTATTTGGTCGCATTCAATAGCAGTTTTGTTCAGGACTTGGTGATTACCCCTGGCTCTGTGCGGCTGACTGCTGTAAGGGGACTGTGCTAGCCTGATGCTGGGCTACTCTCACAGGCTGCTGGCCGAGGCACTGTATTGTGTCTCCCTGAATGTGCTCATTGTCACCATTTACAGCACGCACCTTCTATACTGTACTTCCCTGTGAGGGACCTTCACCCATCCGTCATCCCTTTGTCCTCTGTTCCTAAGACTGAAGACTTCTGACGGGAAGGTGGGGATGTCGGGGGTGGAGGCTGACGCCTGGGAACAAAACTGCCACTATGGCAGTGATTGACAGGGAAGTCGCTTTACGCAGACCTAATGATTAGTGAGGCCAGGGAACGAGCAGCAGATAAACAGTCGGATTTGGAGCAAGAAATAAAGCTAGGATGGCTTAAGGAGAACAGGACAGATCATATTTTGAAAAGTAAATTAAAATGGGAAGTGCAGCAACTGTGAAGGTGGGACATAAAGCTTTCATTAGGCTATAATAAATGGTAACCGTATACTACCCACTGGCCCAAAGCAAGCAAGACTTACAGTATGCAAAGCTGCGCTCATTTACAGTAAATGGAAACAAAGGCTCCCCTGTGGTACGGTCACACGAGGCAGCTTCATGTGTACTGCAGACACCTTCATATATAACATAATGCAGGGACAAGCAACACCTAAAATGCAAACATTGTATTATAAGAAACACTGTGCCGTTTTGAATCGGCCGCAGACTATAATTTAGACCAAATGAGTGGTTTGCGCATTTACAGACAACCATACAGATGGCATATTTTTGGACTTTCACCTCATAAACTGCAGACATAGGCAGTAAAGTGGGCAAACACGGTAGTATGTAGAGAGGGTTCTCTCTGTTCCACGGGCAGATTATTTCAGACTTGTGGTCTTCCAGTAAACTGAACCCCTCTGTCCATAAAGCTGTGGTATTATGATAGAAATAAGAGTCATTTAAAGAGGGAGCGTACCTAGTCTACAAAAGCTGCAGTGGCTCGGTGTTGATCTACCTGTTTGTTTATATTTGGAAGACAAAAAAACTAAACAAAGAAGAAGAGTGCCTTTTGAGAACTAAACCACTAAATCTGGTCATTAATCAAAAAAATACACTCTGACTGTGTCACTGTTTCATGCTCAGCCTCCACTTCAGAATATAAACTTTGTATGACAAGTTTAATCACAGCAATATCTCTGACAGGCCACACGTCAGGTTATACTCCTGACTGTAGGACTCCAATAAACAGTGAGCACTGCTCAGCTGAGGTCAAATGGAGTCATTTTAAAAGGAAAAAGGATTGCTGGACAATCCCTTGGCTTAGTGTAAACATGCATCCATTCTCTGAACTGCTTATCCCACTAAGGCGGCAGGGGAGTTAGAGCCTTTCCCAGCTGATGATGGGCCAGGGGTTGGGTACCTCCTGGGCAACGAGCACTGGCTCATTATAGAGCAGCACAGTCATTCAGGCTTACATCCACGCGTATGGCCGATTTAGAATCTTCAATTAACCTGAGTTAAATAATGTTATACATGCTTTGTGATGATAATCTGCTGCCTGCCCTGTTCACTGCTCTGACATTCAGGGCTGCATGCAGCGAAAGTAACCTGCATGTCATTAAGCTGGAGGGAAGCAAAGGAAACTGTACCTGGAGAAACTCCACATGCAAAGGCTCCAGCAGTTAATGTGATACCCAAAGTTTAAAATGCAACATCCATTTCTAAATGTCCATCCATCCATCGCAAACTAAGATGCTGATGCGATATTATTCGGATGTCGAGGTCAGGTTGTAGGCACTTCCTGAAAACGTGAAATTGCTACATTTTAGCACATTTGGACCACAGTACTATGGGCCAAACAAACAGTTTGCATCTACACTAAGAGTTCAGTTGGAGATTTGTGTGCCTTCCACCAGTGGCTGCTAATGTCGCCTGAAGCAGCAAAATAAATGTGTGGTTTAAATCAATAAATATCTGATCGATGAAAAATATCCATAAATCTAAAACAAACTGTCAGCATAACTATTTTGGACATGTTTTTCCCGAGGGTACCTGCTTGTTGGCATTCAACAGGATTAAGGAAATAAACTGTATTGACAGAAGTGCTGCTCCACCTATAGGAGCATGAAAGTCACGCCATGAAGCTCCCTGCACTCAGTTTCTGTTCTGATGTTAATGCCAGAGGAGCTCTGGACGATAGCAAAAGAACAACAAACGCTATATAAATATTGAGAACTCTTGCAGAAATAGCAACTCAAGTCCAAAAAGATCTGTACTTGTGTTTTGATTATGTGAAGCCATAAACATTTGATCAAGTTATTATTAGCTTTGAACGATGATGGAAAAGACCTCAGAATTATGGAGAAGTTTTACTAGGAACAAAGTCCGGCAATCAGAAGCAACAATGAAATTGGAGAATTTGTCAACATCAGAAGACGTGTACGGCAAGGGTGTGTGCTGCCACCTGGCCTATTTTCTCTGTACAGCGAGCACATCATGTGCAAGATTGAATGAAGCCAGGAATTGTGGTCAGTGGCGCCTCATTAATAACCTGAGGTATGCAGACGACACTGTAATCATTTCAACATCTAAAGAAAACTTGAAGAAAATGATCAGTTTTATGCCACCAATGAACTGAATCGAATCCAATGAGCTCTTTAGATTGACCTATCCTTTCACAAATGTTTGTAAAGACACTCAGTGGCGATGGGACTGAAAACACCTGACTTCAAAGATTAATAGCTGTACTTTTGTCCATATAGTGTAGCAAAGCCAAATTTACAAATCCAAAGTATCAAAAAACCCCATTGATCTTATAATGAGCAGTTACAGAAAGGGAACCAAGCGGCCAGCTAATGGAGTTGAACATGCAAGTCTTTTGTTAATGCCGATCGATACATACCCAGAGCAGATGTGATATCCGACCCTGCAAAGCATTCATAGCCTTTTTTTTCCCACTCAGCACCTCTGCATTTTATTTTTTAAACAAATAATCTAAATATTAAATAATATAATACTAAATCCCTTTCTTGCTGGCTATTCCTCTAACTTTTCTGAGAAACAAAAGAAGGTAAACTTTAGCCACGCACAGCATACTCATTATCTTTTTCTTTACCACGCTGCTGTAGCATCATTAAGTGCCAGTGTCTATGTATCTGACAAAGTAAGCTTTATATTGTGAGGACAGCTACCAGGAAATCGCGTCCGCATGGCTGCAGAGGGTAGTGATTATGGAAAGCAGCTTGGTGCTCATTGGTAAGTGTTACCATATATAGAGGCAATATATCATTTGCAATTTCTAGTGTAACGGCTAAACCCGGTTATTATATATCTGCACAGTATTAGTAAAAGTCTTCTGAGATCATTTTGACTCACACTTCAAAGGCAAAAAGGGTCTTCTGACATGTAACAACTTCACAGTGAGCTGAATGGGGAGTTACTGTAACAGAAGTGAAACAAACGGAAAAAAAAGAAACAAAACCTGTCTTCGGACAGCTCAGTGCCACACATCTGAATGCATAACTTGCAGCATGCAAATGACATAAAAGAGTGACAAAGCATTGTGGAGGGAGGGAGGGAGGGGTTAGCTTGAGCAGATAAATATAGAAAGAGGAACTGACATTTTCAAAAGCTGTCCTCCCAGCGCTCACAAGTTTCAGTGATGCGTAGATGTCAAGATCACAGTGCACAGTCTCCCACGCAGCCCACCGTACCCGCCGTTCACACTTGGCTGCTTTAAATTTGCTCTCTTAGTCGTGGTGCGAACTGAAAAGTGTTGGCTCGAGGCAAACCTGCGATGAGATGAAGGTGTCCAGTTAATTGAAAGGAAAGGGGACAAAGATGCAGCTCTTGGTATTAAAGCCATGTGACGAGCACGTGAAAAGCATCCACCTGAATCTCTTGGCAGGTTACCTGTATAAAAAGGTTAGAAAGTTCTCAGATTACCCAACAATGAGGGGGGAAATATGCTATAGTCAACGAGTACCCTGATTGCGTTTATAGATTCCCACATCAAGCGATTTTTTTATCTTGTGACAGCGATCCCTTGGTGTGGTTACTTTTGTTTTTGCTGAATCGATCTATTTTTCTCGATGAAGTCACCCAAGTGGATTGCTCCCCAGCGATGGAAAAGCCGGTGCTAGTTCCTCTTTTTGCAGCTGCTGTACTGCATCCTGTGTGAAGCTGCAACAGGTACGACTTAGCGCTGGCTGCTTGGTGCGTGACCCGGCGTCAAGCTTTATCTGCACATCTAAGTAAGGGGTTATTTTGTTAATTCACGCCGCAATGCTGGAGTTGCTCGTGCTTTTACTGAGGCCTACACAAACACAGACACGGGGGAAGAGTCAACAGGTGGACGCTCACCCTGAGTGTGTTCAAACATGACAGTTGGCCTACAGAAAGTATCAACACAGCAAACCTCGGTCCCCACCTTCCTGTTGCTCGGTTGGCAGAAGGGCATTCTTCTGATCAGGGAGTTTACTCAAAGCTAGCCCAGGCCAAGTAATTGCTACCCACAGTGACAAACAACTCCATTC